ATATAAATTCATTTCTTGGGCACTGCACTATTAAGACAGTTCTCTTAAATGTCACAGATCACTTTTGGAGTAGGATATGCTTATTTTCCCAATGTATAGCATTACAGCTTTGTCTTCTGGCGTAGTCTGTCACTGAGGTTACAAATGCTATTTTCAAAATTTCTATTTCAGAGGAACTCATATATCTTATGATTGCCAAATTCTGGACTTTGTGCAGCGAAACTATTTTATGCATACTTCTTCACATGGCCAAAGGCAAAGTGATCACCACACTTGGGGAGAAAAAGAATTATTTCCATTTCAAATGGATGGGCAGTATCATAGAGAAGAAGGAAGGAGATGGGTGTTCATGGCATTATTGTCTTTCATAGCCTCTGCAGTTTGCTGGTGCCACTGTCTTTCCCACCTTCTGTGCATTACCATCCCTTGAGAAATAAATTATTTCAGTTTAAAAGGGATATATGGAGCTCTCTATGGAAGTATCTGGGGAAAATGTCAACTGTGATGGTAATGGCTTCTTGGCCATAAGCTTTATATGTCCTTATCCAACTCTTTTAAGTAGGTTCTTTGTAATACTGTGCCTTTCTCCTGATGATTTTAGACATATTTTATTCTTCACCTTCACTTAACAAGCAACTTGCCATCCCCTTCACCCCCATTCACTTTACTTTCTACTAGTGTGTCCCATATAAAATACAGGGATTTGGAGTTCTGTGTTATTCCTACGTGTAATGCAGTCATCTCTGAAATCTCCCTTGGCTCCATAAAGTTTGAATACACAAGAAACAATTCCGAGAAATGTCTGCAGAAAATATATGTGATCTCTTTGAGTAGAATATACATGTATTAGTACTATTTAATCTTAAAAATGGAGACAAAAAGATTGAATAAATGCTCATATTTTGCTTACTTTTTAATACTTAAGTGCAAATATGCTTGAGTAGAAAGAAAAGAACTTCTCACCAGGAATGGGAAATGTGTTCCACAAGTGCAGTGTACAATGCAGTTTGTCTTTGACTGCAAAAAACATAATCTAGAGAAAATACATTACCAATGAAAGATGTGAAGAACATGTGATAAAATAATCTTAGTTGAATTTAGCAGGTATAATTTAGGGATGTACTGTTTTTTGTCATCTGCAGATTAGCTCCACCTGTGATTCTCTTTTCATAACATTTAATCAGAAATATTTAAATCATTCCATTCATCCAGTCTTGTTGATATTTTTGCACTAGAGCCTAGACAGATACAGTTATTTTTGTGAAAATCTGAATGTAAAATATCAAATTCCATTTTCAGATTTACTTTGCAAGGAGTCTGTAACTAACACTATTTACAGAGCCCTTCAGCATGGTCTGTACTTAAGCATGTGCCCGAGGCTGTTCATACGGTGCAGTGCTTCAACACAGAAGCGACTTGTGTTGCGGGAATGTAGCTTAGACTGTCCTTTCCATTCTTTGCTGCAAGGGTCCCACAAGCAGATCAGAGCTTTTGCTTCACTACAAGCAATATCTTATCCTCTTTTCATTTTCTTTTTTTAAAGGTATATAAAATAAATATTTGCTTGTTAGATGAACAGATGATCGTTTCTGAAAGTCAGCTGTATCAAAGATTTATCAAGATTTCCCTGATTAGTCGCAGCTTTTTTAATACCTCCATAAATATAAATGTGATCATTGACACTGCATATGCCAATATTGAAGAACCTCAGTTGGACTTTCCTGAACACTGACATAACAATGCTGTTTTAATAGGGTTTTTTTGCGGTGGGTTGGGTGTTTTATTTGGATTTTTTTTTTCCTTAGAGGTGTGATGCCAGTTAGCTGCATGAATGCATGTCAGGTATTGTGGGCACAGCTATCACATCTGCCCATTTAAGGCAGATGGCAGATGCTTTAGCAAAGATTATAGGATCCCACAACATGGTCAGCTTTTGTCACATCATAACATTGTAACTGTCAAATGTATATTCTACAAGACTTCAGTTTCATAAGACTTAATTATAAAGGCTAGAACTCTGGTATGATATTGGCAGAAGAGTTATTGCTATTACTTGGTGTCATGGAATACAAAAATAATTTGTTAATGAGACTATAGAAGACATAGTTTTTATCTTTGCTTAAGTTAATATAATTTAAAAAAAACAAGGTATATATGGCCTTAGTAGTTGTTATGTTAGTGTAAGATTATGTTATTACATTGAAAGATTATATCTATTCTTTGATATATCAGCTACCTCTGTACCAAATTTTTAAAGTAACAGAAATAAATTCCTCTTATGGCATGTTCATCAAAGTGTACAGGTAAGTGAAAATATTACTTTAAATTCATCCAGGTCAGTCAATCAGCTGATCACTGTGTGATCCAGTTTCATAGTAATGGAGAAAAGCAGCAGTATATGTATGATAAAATCAGGATAAAAATAATAGCTTGATATGATAGCCAGTACGTTTTTAGAGAAGAAATACATCCCATCTCCAGACTGCATAGCATAGTTGTGGCAGCGTGCAATTCAGTCAGGTACCAGGGATGCTGAGTTTTACAAGGGAGAAATTGTAAATCGAAGTGACTCTGTGATATGTTCTGTTCCAACCCATTGCTCTTACAAAGTTGGGAAGACAAAGACACAAACACATCTAACTTTGAGTCTTGTACTGGGGTGATACTCTATCAGTTACCAAAGTCTCCCATCAGATTGTTTTCGAGGCCACCAATTTTATTGGCATCTGCTGTATTTGCAACTGGTAAAATGTAGCCCTTGTGAACAAAAATAAATGGAAGGTGAAAATATCTACAGCACCTCTTACCAATTTTGCAAGATACAAAAAAATATTTTCTTAAACTAAAAGACTGATGTTTGGTTTGGCCCCTGACATGGTAGTTTTGGAAGAAACACTCCCAAATCTATCCTAACAGCTGATAGCAGCAAAATTTCTTTCCTTGAATTCTGGTACCAGCATTTAATTAGATGGACCAAAATTAATTACCTGGGCCATCTGACAGCTGCAATAAATGGTGAAAGCTCTGTTTCTTAGATGTGAAGTGAGATAGTCCAAAATTTCTATTCTGTTATGTGAAGAATAGAGTGATGAGGAAAGGAAGGCAGCAGAGCTTCTGGCTCAGGTGTGCCCCACTGGCCATCAGAGAGGAAGGGAAGGGCTTGCTCCTGCTAGTGTCGAGGGTACTTGTATCATTGCTCTGCCTGCTCCTGGCTGTGGGTATTCAAATGTGCTGATGAAAATTCAGTAAAGCTCTTCAAGGAGATACCAGTCTGTGACTCTTTATCCTCACACGTAGCATCAAAGTTTTCAGTTCTGGAATTAGGCTGTGTGATTAACACTTTTATGACTTGCAGACCAACAGTTTAGCAAAGAGTTTTAAGTCTGTAATAGGGTAACAGTAACCCAGGCAGGTACAAATGTATGTCAAAAAGGTAATAGAAAATGCTAATGCAAATACAAGAAAATCCCTACCCATGTAGGTTGTTCTTAAGCTTTGAAATGAGGTCTACCAACTCTCCTCAAGACTGGAGAAGAGTTTGTTTGATGTGAGGTAACTTCTGATATTTCATAATCAGAGGCAAAAGGTGCATGCAGCAGTGTCTGAGTATATGGAGACTTCTTCAGTTTTTCTGACTAGGGGACAAGATTAATTGAATATTCTGCATTTAATAAAAAAATATAACATCTTTTCCTTGACAGATAACTTATGACCACGACCACTTGAATTCAGTTTGTCCTAGTCAGTCATTTTATAGATAGGTGAATAGTGATACAGAAGTTGATCTTCAAAGTAGCCATCAGAGAGAAAGGCTAAAAGGGGAGGTTTTGAAATAATACCTGAATGGAGTTTTTAAATCTTTTTCTTACTGTAGATTTTTACAACATTTTTGGGCCTGATAGGAATTCTTATAATTTACATATTTGCTCACAAACGTGTCTACTAATCCCCGAATCAGTGATGGTGAGATGCACTTCTCACTGAAGCATTAATTTGTTAAACCAAAAGCACTTTAAAAGGCAACTTTTAGAGGAAGCCTGAGTAGAAACATTGTGAAGGAACAGATAACTTCTTCTGACATTATCACATCATTCAAGCTGCAGTTGCCAATCCTAATGGAAGGTGGTGATGCTGATTTGAGCATATTGTTTATATGATTTGCAAGAGCTTTGGGAGACAAGGAGTCCCTGTTGCTATCATTTATAATTAAAGCATCCATCACTTTTCTCTGAAAAACTGCTTGGCAAATAAATAATTAAAGGTGTGGTTCTGATACACTTAGTTGAAATGAGAGAGGTTTCTGAGAACAATCCAAATACAGTAAATGAAATTTCTTTAAAGTAAAGTTTCAAGATAAATAATAGTATTAGAATCTCAGTCAAAGCCAGTTCTTGTTTGTTAAGGCGGAAGGGTGTTCTGGTTTATGTGCTTTAAAATCTAAACCCGCAGACATCTAAGCCTGTCCACATACAAAACAATGCCTGATGTTGTCTCTCATGCCTAGACATGTTATCTTCTAAGCACAGCGTAAACTAGGCTTAAAGTTAATGGCTAGTTAAATGTTCGCTGCTTATTCAAACACCCAGAGATAAACAAGTTGTTAATCTGATGGTTTGTACAGTACAGAAGCTTTATAAAGCTTTATGTTAACTAATAAATTATATTTTGTAATATTAAAAATATGTCTATTTTATAGATGATTTTTCTTTGATTGTTTCACTGAATTGATATTTAAAAGAAGGGTTATGCTTAAATGGTGTTTCTTTTCATAGTTTCTAAAGTAATTGAAAAGGTTTGAGTGGAATATTTTGAAATACAAATTATTTTATGTGCTTCCATTGTATTTCAGTAATAACCTTGCTTCCATAATAGTTGAAATAACTGTAAATATGCAAGTCCCTCATAGCATTGTCAGGGAGAATTTCAGTTGATTTTGCTACCTTGAAATTAACCTTTTACTACCGCATGCGTATGTTTGTCATTTATCCCCTTTTTCTCAGGTGCAAAGAGGGCTACCAAGGAGTCCGCTGTGACCAATTTTTGCCGAAAACCGACTCAATCTTGTCAGATCCAAGTACGTCAAATGTTTTTCTTATCTTTCTAATCCATCCTGGAGGCTATTCTTGCCATGTGAGATGACCCTTTGCCTATTGTCAGAAAGCATATTATGGACCACTGCAGCTGTGTGTAGAGAACAGTGTTGCTTTTGTTGGTAGGATAAAAACACATCCTCTAATCTCTGTTCTAATAAAATATCTGCTGCTGCAGCAGGGCACGCCATCAGAGAAATTGATTCCTTATGATTTGGAATAATACTGTCCCTGCTTAAAGCCAAAATATTCATCTTTCTCTACTTTTGACTCAAGAACAAATAAATTTACACAGTCGAGAAGTACAGGGTCCAAAGTTCATATTGTCTGGCACTGCAGAGATTATAATCTCCTTGAAAATACCTGATATCAGTTTACATAAAACTCAATTTTTTTTCACTTTTATGAGTGAAGTTGCTCAGTATTTGCAGAGTACAGGTGTACTTTCAGGTAGTTATGTGGAAACAAAGTGCAACTTTCTATTACACTGCTCAGTATATGCCAGAATGCCATCTTCGTCTATGCTTGCATAACTTCACTGTTGCCCATTTTAAATTCTGTTGACTTATAAAACTGTGTCAAAATATTATCCAAGACTAATTTCTCGGAGTTTAATCCATTTAGTAATTACTGTTGCTTATCTTAAATTTTTAAATGATGTGACATACAACAAAGGGTCATATCTAATCTCTTGGGTTTGTTCTTATACCTGGAAACTTTAGCTTATTAAGTCTTCTGGTGTTGGATGCCCTTTAAAATTTTATTTGAGTTATTTTGCTTGTGTTTTTGAAGAATAATGGTTGTTCTTCTAGTCCTTTGTTTTGTGCTTTCTGTTTATTTTCTTGTGTTTTTTCATGTGAAAGCCTGCTGCCAAAGACACCTGTTGTTTTGTAGTTATCTATGTTGTATAGCTCCCATTATAGTTTGCTTTGTATTTGGTTTAGCTTTTCCTTTTGCTTGACCTTTAATGGTAAAGTGCAGAACCTATAATGAATAAGAAGATTTTACCTCTGCCAAGTTTTATGTGCATGTGTCAACACAGAAGTTCTATATATGTCAAGGAAAAAGGTACTTGGTATCCTAAAAGTGGGGGGAAGGGCGATCTGTTAATAACAGGACAGAGTGGTATCTATTCTGACTTGGTTTTAACAGGGGACTCTAGCTTCACTCACTCAAGAGTAGAGGTGAAATTCATATAGATACAATACAAAGCCCAGAAGAGACTCCCAGATTAAGCTACATCTAACAAGACAAAAAGCCCTCCAGTGTTTATATATTGTAGACAGATTTGTTGTTGTTTCTTTGCAGCATTGTGTTGGTTGCACAGACTTGCATCTCTTTACTTGGGAAGTGCTTACTTACTGTGGTTGGTTTCTGCCTGAATTGTTCCCGTAAAATTGTTCAGCCACCTGATCCTGCTCAGTAAGCTAAGGTTCTGCTGAAATGTCCTTTTTACACCTTCTGACTACAAAGGCTATTTTATTTTATTTTATTTTATTTTATTTTATTTTATTTTATTTTATTTTATTTTATTTTATTTTATTTTATTTTATTTTATTTTATTTTATTTTATTTTATTTTATTTTATTTTAGTCTGTCTTTCAAAATTATATTATTTAGTGTATGCAAGAGCAGGGGACTTTGGCCTGATGTTGATGTCAATCCACTGGATACACCTACAACCCATGAATGGCCCCTCTTCCAATATAAATAAAGAAAGTTAATGTGAGTTAGGTACTTTCCCAGTCCTGAAATTTAACTTATACTTGATCCTCATCTGTATTCATAAGCGGAAAAGCTTTTGTTCACATATATTTCTGTGTGTTGGCATAGTGTGATATATCTCTGTGTATGTATGTGCATATGAACTTATTCTAAGCATGCCTGGCCTGAAAGAGAGATACTAGAAACTTTCTGCTGCAGCTGGACAGTGACAACATGAGCATTTTGCTCAGCGGTTAAATGAGTAATGTATTTAGCTTCCTTCTGGCAGTGGAAAAAATTAGTACCACACTGATAATTAGCACTCAGAAGCAGAAATATTTTGTATTTGCATAATCTGAGGAGTGTAAAAAGTATTTGACACAGTAGTCAAGTGTAATATGATCATCTCCAAAGGCGCTGGTGATTGTTAAAACTTAGTTTTACAGTTGAATGTGTGTTTGAATTATGAAGAGAACTGCTGAAGGACACTAAAGCGTGAATTTGGAGGTGACTTCAGAAAGAAGCAGTTTTTATTAAATGCAAGTCTTAATTTTCAAAAGTTCAACACTCAGATGAGAGCTCCTGTGTCTGGACTGCACGTAGCCAACACTGCTTGATGTCAGTCAAGCTTTATAAATGAGTCCTGGCTCATTTGAGTTTTGTGGAGTTGCGCAGGATTCTCAGTAGTAAATGTGTTCAGAACTGCTAATGATGCATCTGATAACAATATTTAGCTTATTTGAATTTTGCATGTGTGAAATACTGAAGCAATATGTTTTTAATCCTACCTTGCCTGTGATAGTGCAGGTTATATTTTCAGGACATTCACTTGTAAGTGAATCTGGACCACAGTCATGTGAAAAATAGCAATGTTATCTTAAAATTGTTAGTTATTTATATATGCAAGTGTTGTTTTGTTTGGTTTTGGTTTGTTTTTTGGTTTGGTTTGGTTTGTTTTTTTTCCAAATAGCCCTCTGAAACAAACCAAGCTTGTTCAGCATAGCTGTTATCTGAGGTTGCATACTGACAAATAATGTGATATAGCTCTGCAATAGTTTTAACAGTATCAGGCCAAACCCAGCTTCCTAACTCATTTTAGGTGTATGTGAGACAGGTCTTGACTTTACATCACAGATATGAATACAAATTATGTGATACTTAATATGGATTAATGCATGCTAAATCATGTACATGTAGTTTAATTAAACTAAATGGTTAAGATATTTAAGATTCTGATTTCAGGAAACCTTTTGAAACTACCTGATGGTGTTTCAGAGTTCCTGAATTGTCATCCATGGCTTACTGCAGCCAGATATGCCACCCTCTACCTTCCAGCTCAAAGTGAGGATCAAATTCATAAGAAAATGAATGTAGGACACATATAGAGCGGTGTCAAAACACCCCAAACACAGGCCCTTGCACTGGATCTTCGAGCATCATAGGCATTTACAGCTTCCACTTCCCTTACTTTCTTTACTCTTAATCAGGTTTTCTGGCTGTAAGTGAAAGACGCTTAAAAAAAAACACCAACAAAAATCCCCAATCCAAACACAAGTAGTTTGAGAAGATTGTTAATCTTGGAATATGGGAGACACCTGTCTAAATCATGGAGGCCACAAAGAACCTAACAAAATTAATAATATCACAAATAAGGGAAAAGGCTGCATGCTGCATGACAATGCAACCCATGCTGACAGTCACTAACAAGAGGAGGAAATCTGTCAGCCCTGATAATACTGGGTAGGACAAGTCCCTGAACTCCCTCCCAGTCATCTTCTCCTTCATCTATGGAGGAATTACTAATGGGACAAAGAGAAAAGAAATAGCAGTCACATGCTGGAAGAAAAGGATAGGAGTTTTTTTGAAATGTTATTTCAGCTTTCTCCATCTGGGCTAACTTCTCTATAAATACAGTTCATGGCAATGGTATAACACATTTTCAACATTAGAAATGCAACTTTATGTACAAGTCATTTTTCAGGCATATGTAGTCCTGTGTGTATCTATAGGATTGGGAACTTCCATGCAACATAAATTGTACAAATGTACTCATGTACTATCCTTTATAGTGTTCTGGAGTAGACCTGCCTGGCCCAAAGAGTCTTGAAATATAAGATGTATGTAGGCTGTGGATATTTATTTTGATCGGTTTTTATACTGGGACAAAGTATAACCCTTAAATCTTTGGCTGTTCTGTGTGGATATTCCAACATGGTGAACAAGGCGTTGAGAATGGATTTGTCACATTACCCCTTTTTTTACAAAATTGTTGAACTCTGCCTTCAACTATTTTGTTCTTAACATTGAAAGCTGCTTTCTTATGCAAAAAGTGTATTTGAGTTTTATAATGTGCATTACTAATTTTATATTTGTCATATTAACATTCAACTTGTCCCATTTGACCTCAGAAGCTTAAGCATGGAGGGATCTCCTATCAGATATTGGGAATATTATCCAATCCTTTTTCAAAATAAATGCATTATTTTCTAAAACAAGAAAAACAGGATGGAAATCTTATTACTAGGTTATTAGGCCATGCTCCTGCTATTGCAGACAACCCCATCATGTATTTCCTTCCGTAAACTGATCATACTTCTTTTGTAAACCACTTGCAATCAGCATGAGCTAGTTGCTAGAAACAGGTTTTGTTTAGCATCCCTGCTCTGAGGGTTTCAAGATTTTTCAGCTTCCACACAAAATTTATGGACAGCCCAAATTTGTCAATTATGTTCTCTGTTAAAATGCACACTTTGTTTCTACATTGTTATTTTTTCCTATTGGTTTCCACCATGTTACACTTTGGGTCTGTTAAACTGGCTTTTTCAAATGTCAGAAGTCTTGTACCTACAGAGCTAGCTATAGTCTGTGGTTTTATAATAATTTAACCTGTGACAACACTGCACACATCATGCTTTTTTTGAATCTCGTTAAAGAGAAACCTTCAAGTGTCATGTCTGGAATCTGCAGTTATTCATTCTTAGATTACCTCTTCACGTAGCAAAGGATCAAAAACTCTCTCCTGGAAGACTAGGACTGTAAATAAGTAAAACAACTCCAAATAGTTTAAAAAGGAAAAAACCTGTCTTTCTGGAAAAGTATTTGAAACCTCAAGACCCACACTCACTTCCTTCCAAAAAAAAAAAAAAAACCAAACAAAATCTTGGGATTTTTGCTTTTCTTTTGACTTTTTTTTTTTTTTTTCTTCTTCCTTGCCCCCCATCCACTTTTGTGTTTGTAAGATTGTAGGATAATTTAGGTTGAAAGAGGAGTCTGGGCTGGA